TAGATAGATAGATAGATAGATAGATAGATAGATAGATAGATAGATAGCCATACTATCCAACCTACATGGTCCAAGTACTAAGTGCTCGATTTTAAAATGTATTTTGACCGCAGAGCTGAGTATTCCCACACACATCCTCTTCAACCTTCATATTCGTTCGGAACGACAGACCTCTGCGGTCACAGAACGTCCGGAGTTCTCCACATCCTCTGCTGAGTGCTCGCCTCACCGCGAGCGACACAGAAGCCCTTCTCGTTGATGAACAAACCTTCTCTTGGCCTCGATCGATCCACTATAGAGAATGGACACCAAGAGCTCAAGTGAACAAGAGCGAAAGCTTGTGAACTAACAATCTGGATAGATCTGATGCATGCTGATGCTACATGATGCTACCTATTTCTGATAAACCATCTGAGAAAACAAGTAGTTCGTTGTTCGTTCGTTAGCTGACCATCGATGTCATCCATCGATTCCACCGCTACAAAGAAGATCGAGACAGGGAAGACAAAACGACAGAACGGTCAATCAGATCCGTTAAAAGAGCATGTAACATACACAATCACACACATGTACACCTGCACACAGCACACCAAAATGGCAGTGGGTGGGTCAACACAGCACTCCAAACCACCAAATGCAGTCAACACATGTCCTGCACAGCGACCGTATATGCGATGGTTTTATCCGTCAACCGAAGTCAACCATGCGACCAGTTGATGTTAAGAAAGACCTCGAAAAAAGAATGGTCCATGGTCCTGGTCCTGTAGACGCGTCAGTACGTCTTCAGAAGTCGTGCGCCAAAAGGCCGTCCATTCTTGAAGCTTCCGATGAAGGCTTCAAAGTTGCTGCTCTTCCAAAAGAGCCGTCCTCGGTGTAAAGATGAGACCGAGCAAAACTCACAGCCGCCATCCGGTCGAACGACGGCCTCTGCAAGGTCCTGGTGGAAATCATATATGGACCGAGTCCCGAGTCATTGGAAGACTTTCTTCATCTTTCTCCTAATCTGAGATACACAGTGACGCACAAACCCACTTCATTCAAGCACCTCAAGAATCATCCACCGAACCTCGCAGAGACGCCGAAAACACTCGCAGAACCCGCCGAACACCTTGCTTGGTCGGCCTTGTCCATGAGGAACTTCCCCCACAAAGTCTCCAATGTAGACCTTCGATGTGCGGTGCTTCTTCGGATCTGGGGGAGACCCCGGATCTGTCGCATGTCTGACAGTGTCTTGAATGAAGTTGCCTAAGAACCCGAGGACGGATCGATGGTGAGGAGCACCAAAGGTCCATGTGGTTTTTTGTATACCCAATAGACATGGGTATACGTACTGATGCTTGGTCTGTTCGTCGATGCTCCGCTCATACGGACTCCAAATGGCACTGCTCCGTAAGGAGTCAGGCTACCAGAGGTACTCCGTCACCACGCAAAATTGAAAGAACACACAATGGACAAAGGCTGTGCTTCTTACAGGTTCCGTACAACTGCGGAACACGGGTGAAATCAGCAACATGACCAATAAACATGTCTATAAAGCATAGAAATAACATAACACAAACAATAGATGAAATTAGCACGTTCCTTCCATTGTCACTTGAAGGGGGGCCCATGTTCATGGTCTTTCCGTTGGGCCCCCTGCCGGCGAACCATCCGCATCCAGCAAGGTATCTTCATACGCCTGGGCCCCGGGTGTTTGGTTTCCGCGACGCAGCTGGACGCCGCTGAGCCGGACACGTCGATTCCCGGACGGCACGTCCCGGCGGACGATGACACGGGAATGGGCGGGTGGATCCGTTTGGGCGGTGGTAGAGTTCCGTTAGATGAGGAAGAAAAGAGTTCACCTGGTTTTGTATCATGGTGGATAGAAAAACAAGGGGAATCTGTTACTTTGCTGGAAGATTCCTATCCTTCTGCACCAGAGATGTTCCAGATTCCAGACCTTTCTTGCTCCGAACTCGATAGGCTTCCTTCGACAGAATGGCTCGTGCTGCCCATGCAATCAAGTCAAGGGCGCCACTTTTCTACAAGGCTGATTGAACTTGGTGGATCAGCTAGAGAATTAACTCAACCCCTTAGACCGACATCAGTGTCCTGCAAGAGAAGCGATCCTCTCTGGGTTGTTGGTGGATTGAGATGTCCTGCTTGACTCTTCATGCAAATTCATTGTGCAGTCCGATCACGAAACCTTCAGATCTTGCTGCATGAATGCTACGCGCGCGCGAGCGCGCGCGCGTAGACGTCAATTCATGGACGATGGAACTCAATCAATCACATCACTTTAGAAACACACACACACACATTTATAGACATCAATATCTTAAGTGATCCGCCTCAGTCCCAATTGGTGTACCCTCAGTTCCTTAGCCTCCTGGACTCTGTGTTGCGCTTTTCCACCATTTCCACCCCTCCAGGAGCTTGTGAGTTGGGAAAAAGGGACGATGAATTTTCTTTGGACTTGAACTCTGAGGGTGGATAACCCAACAGGGCAACCGCTCATTGGGAAGGATGAACACTCCAAATCCGCAAAACCAGTTACGCGGTGTTATATGCGTTTTTGCGCCGATCGCGCTCATGAACTCATCCAACCTCCATACCCGAGCGGCTCGTCCTTCTCGAATGGTCTGCGCCTCGGGTTCGGCTCTTCCAAAACGGAGTGGCAGGACCGGTCCACTTTGAAGGGCTGGACCCAGGGGCGACTGGTGCGTCTGGCGGTGCGTAGCTTTCGGGCAACGACCCTGACGATCCCCACGCCCGGACCACGACAGGTGGAGAACCGGGACGTTCTCTACGCCCCAAACGCCCGCGACGAGACCGGGACGTCCACCGACCTGGAGCGCCACACGACCTCCCAGTTGGGACCACGTGGCCGTGCGGTTGAAGACCACGCGCGCATTGGCTTGTTGTGCCCCAATGGCTCCAAAGCGGCCAGCGCCCAAGCAGCTTTGACCACCCAGAGTCACCTCCTGTTCGAGTCACGTGCTCCACGTGCCGTAGAAACATCATGAAGATCATGAAACAGTTGGATGTCAATTGGAAGTGTGTGCACGTCCCTTGCCGTTGTTGAGGGGATTTGTTTTTGTGGAACGCAATGCTGGTGAAGCATGTGTACCCCGGATACCCAAGAAAAAGCTCTGATTCTAACAAAGTGATTGCAAAATAAACATATGGAACATCGTGTGAGAAATTTCAACAACATGTCACATGTCACATCATATACAGCTTAGCAGAATGCCATCCTTGCCTTTGCTCTGGAGTGAACTGGTGTAAATGGTACGCCTACTTCCTGGGATTCAGTTGAAATTGCAAGTACACCTGTTCACCACCTGCTCACACACCGTTCGCTTCGGCGCGAGCTTCGAGACCGCACGAGACCGAGACGACGCGCGAGACCGAGACCGACGCCGTCGTGGCGGCCGTGGCCGTCCTCAGTTTCTTCCTTAGCGCAACAGCTGAGCCCAGAAAGCTACGTTCGTAGTAGCGTCCTGCTACGTTCGTAGCGTCCTTGTTGCCTAGTAGCGTCCGATCGCTCCGTTCGTAGCGATGCCCTTTGCTCCGCTTTGCTCCTTGTTCCTATAGTAGTAAGGCCAGGAGCTACTGGTAGCTTAAGAGAAGGTACGTCTGACGTCTCACTCTGACAGTTTTTTGCAGCATCTCACTTTCTTCTTTGGTGCCTGCCTGCGTATGGAGCATTTTTGATCCATCTGCGATCATGATCATGGCAACCGATTGCAGCAAACATACCATCTCGGTGCTCAACTGTAAGATACTGTAAGTTCTCGAATCCATCCGCCACTGGCTGATCACCTACTCATCGGCACTATATAGGTGTTCTTCTTTTCTTTACCCGCGACATATTCGCAGGTCTTCACGGGTGGTGCTCTCTTCATGATGTTGGCTGAGATGGGTATCAAAATAGAACCATTGGGTCGGTATCAAAAAACGCCCTAATTGACTTCCCTTGGCACAAAACACGACCATCGTCCACCAATCTCCTTCTGCAACCACCTCGGGGAGCATGATTCACACACGATCACAGCCGCTCTCGTTCATGGCCGAGGCTCGCCACTCGTTGTGGTCTCTGCAGCATTCACTGAAGCCACCACTCCCACACCCAGGGCAGTGCCTGGCGCATGGGCGAAGCCAAACGCGCCACACAGTGTGGCTGTTTCTATTGAGGAGTGATATGAAACGTAATACAGTATCCTGGTGCCGCTGGGTGCCAGTGCCTTGGGTAGCTATACTAATACTAGTCGAAAAGAATAGTGCTATATGAAATGTTATGCATTTACAATAAGAGTTTGGAAGTGGGTTCACACCACTTGTTTTGACATTGTGACTAGCATCCAAACGAGCTAGTGATGGACGTCGGTTCACTCCTATTCGAAGCGCAGGCTTGCTGCAGCTAGTGCACTATCTACTCATATCCACCCTAAGGCGACGCACTCACACCAAGTGGTACATCGGTTTCGTCACCTTTGGTACATCGGTGTCTCCTAGAAATGATCCTTTAGAAAGGAGCATAGTCAGATATAAATTCCAAACAAACGGAACTATGTCGTGAAAAACACTTTGCTCGGCGAAACTCCAAAGGATGTTCGCCAAACAGGATTCTCCGCTTGTGCCTTGAACACACCGGGAAAGGTAGAACATTGTAGAGTTGACATCAGTTAACACATTGTTAACACCCCACAACTAAGAAAAAAGTAACTAGTCACGTTGTCCTTGCGATTCTCTAGCTGGAAAAGCGGGAAAAGACATCCACCCGTTGGTTCCACTCCCAGTGGAGTACGACTCTTGCGGTCCTGCGGCGGCGCAGCGCACGGCGCAGCCAACCGCCAGGCCCCAGCCGCCCAAAGGGATGGTGACCTCAAAGGATGAGGAGTGCGACCTTCGTCGATCTGGATGTTCGTTGGACGGACTGGAATTTGGAAACGATATATACATATATATTATATAGCCAAAAATTATACCAGCATAGACCCCAAGCAGTTTTAAAACGATTCGTTTGAACCAATATTAGTCAAAAAACGATTTCTTGGTACGCCCTGCCTTCCCCCCAAGAGCAAGCTGCTTTATCAATGATTTTTGTCTGCATCGACATCGCTATTTGTTCGGCCACACTCTTCTCCAGTCAGCCGGGCCACAGAGACCAGCCACAGAGTTCAGGGGCGCGGCCAAGACAAGGACAGGAGGAGGACAAGGCCCGGACACAGAGCCGGGCCACAGACAGGGGCGCGGCCAAGACAAGGACAAGAGGAGGACAAGGCCCGGACACAGAGCCGGGCCACAGCCAAGCCACAGAGCCCAGCCACAGAGTTCAGGGCCGTGGCCAGTGAGTGTGGCCAGCTCATGTTTAAAATAGAACCCCAACAGTAAACTGTTTGGGGAAAAATGATTTTCACAATGTATCAAAATTGTTATAGATGTTTTAGGATGTTTTGGTTCACAGCAAGAACTTAAGTTTGGTGGACATCTTGGGATTAGATCAAACAATTGATGGTGAAGCTTTGCACGGGACATGCTGTTCTTGTGTTCATATTTAAATATCTGCTGAGCCTTTGAGTTCCTTCCAAGACCAACTACTAGTTTTTCTTGGTGGTCTCATTACCACAGCTGGGAAGACTTTAAATGATTCATGGTTGCAGTAGCTTCTTTTGTCTTTTCTCAAGCTAGTTAGAGGATAGGGCAGGCTATTTTTTCTGTGACTAAACGTTTGAGTCAACATGTTTTCAATATGTTTTAACCGATCCATCTCCATCTCCAAAGGTGCCAAGAAGGAGGCGGCGGCTACGGCCAGGGAGGCCTCGCCGCAGCCGACGACGAGTGTTGAACAGAGCAAAGGCGGGGGCCTCTTCGGAATTCAGCGAAGACCTCTGGCGTCCTTTTTTTCCACCGACAATCGGAGGTCGAGGTGTGAAAAGCACATGTGTGCAATGTAGAAACGAAACAAAGGCACTGCAAGAGGTGGGATATCTCACAAGCTTCTCGGATGAATGTTTCTTCTTTTACCTGTCATGTTGTGGTCGCACTCGTTTCTTGTTGTCTCTACCCACTTTTGAACGAATAAGGCCTGCAGTCCCTGCAGCTGACCATGTCCGGGACCATCAAACATAAGACGTGGGCTCCAATGTGTTGGAAACACATGAGAGGTTTTCCCACCCTGTACTATTACTACCCCTTCAAAAAAGGGACGCTTCAAAAGATCCATCCAACTTAAAGGATGTTCGAACTGTTTCGTTTGTTGGATGTGACAATCGCAGCTGATCGGATGGGCATTAGTTGAAGAACAAGGTCAAAGTGCAAAGTGATTGAATTGCGAGCCGTTGGGTGTCACCGAAGTGTCGTCAAACTACATGTGTCCAGGCTTTAAACCTCATAAGAATGCCCTGCAGTTCGCCTTTGACCCACTGAAATCCTACCATAGTGGATTGAGAGTAGATGGCACAGACCCCAAGAGGTGGTTTATATGGACCCCCATCTAGAGGACATCTTGGGGCAATCTACTCTGAAACCACTGTATTCCAAGCCGGCATAGCGTGTGAAATCTTGAAACACCGCTTTGGCCCATCATCCACCCGTTTGCTCCGTGTGCCTGTTTCACGACTTGTTCATGGCGTTCCTGCTCGAGGACCTGGCGTCCGGGCCGACTGAAAGACGACCCAGCATCCGCCCCGAAACATGGGCGGACCCTGATGATCTATACAGTATGATATGTTTCAAGCTTCACCAGCGCGATGTGCTTATGATTTCCTTGTTGCGCGAGAACATGGAACATCATCAAGTTACCTGCAAAACTGTCCAGCCCACTGCTCCTGCGGCTGCTGCAATACTGGATCCTAAATAAGACAGTTCTTCCATCTTCCTCAAGACTGCAAGGTATGCTCATTTGTCAGAAGGCATCCCTACAACGCACCCTGTAGGGTCCACTGTAGGCTCCAAACAAAAATATGATTGCATATCAGCTTTTCTTGTGGCACAAGAGGTTAGGTGAACTGTTTCTTTGGCTTGGGTTTATCTCAAAATTATGACAAACTCCTTAGCTGCCGTGAAACACCTTGAACTAACCCTTGTGAGTCAAACAGTTCTCACTTCCGGTTCTTGCTCCAAAGCATCAAAGCACAACTCCAATTGGCGCCTCACACCAAACAATCTGCACCACCAAAAGAAAAAGCTCAAACAAAAAATCATAAACATAAAAAAATAAATATTATACAATATAGTATAACATTATCAGATATATACATGCATGCATGATCATGCACGGTATGTATAAAATAGACATATGCGCCTCGGCAGCTCTGGAAGGGTAGACCTTTCCAAGGCCCTCCAAGCGATCCTGGGCGCTTCCGCTCGGCAGCTCCGAACGACCGAAGCTCCAACCAACCGAACGACGGTGTCCTCCGCGCGCGCGAAGCGACGCTTCGGGACCACCGAACGATGGTGGAAGAGGTCCTTCTACGACGGTGCGCAGTAGACATCTTCGCATCATACGAAAACAGCCAGGCAACAGTCATTCAATGGGGACTTACCGAAAAAGGAACATGGTTGAAAACCAAGATTGTCGTTGAAGCATGGCCATCCAACAGCTCAGATTTAGCCGAGACGCATTAAAGATGTCATAGATTTCTCTGCAGAGTTTCTCTTGCCGTGAGCGCTTGAGATCATGGATGATGCTATGGAGCTCCCCCACAGCTTCAACGAGGGAGCCAAACTCACGAGCACCGACCATCTTCTGATCGACTGAGACGCAAAAGACCTTCACATCACCTGGCATGGCTGGATACCAAGGAGCACTTATGCATTACATCGGCTCTCATCTGTGCATTGACAGTCTTGCTAAAGGCTAGTAGCGGCTAGTGTGCTACAGTCCTGTAAAGTTACATATGAAATCCTAAGAAGCAGGTTTACTCAGGATCCAGTGGCCAAAACACAACAACCTTAGGTGCGACCAAAAACCAACTTCTGTGGGACCCTCCACTTCCAGCCCTAGCCCCGCTGAACAACACTGTCCAGCCCACCATGGTTTGGGTCCAGGGCGCTGAGAAATCCGGGGAACAACATGAGGCAGTCACGATTGGCCAAGTATTGCAGCAGCTCCTGAGTTTAAATCGCAGGACACACCGAAAAGCCGGGTGTAGAAGCCAATTCGAAAGCCAGAAGAAAGGTGGTGAAGGATGGTGAAGGTACCAGAAGCTCAACAGGAAGGGACCGCACTTCTCCCTTCTTGCATGTGCTTTTCATCGAATTGGTGCCAGGGTTGGCCACAAAAACGCCTCCGAAGTATGGCAGCACAACAAGCTTCTCACAGAAACATTTCAAGACCGAGAAAGGTGGTGACAACCCTGCAAAGTGACATAGAACCTGAAGGAAAAGAAGTGGAACCGAGTGGAACATCCTTGGCACTATACAGTACATAGTATACAAGGGTGGTGTCTTCTGGTTCCATACATGTCATGCAAAGTGCTCCCATCTTCTGTGAAAATCAACACTGTCTTGGTCCAAATCCCATGCAGTGGAACCCACTGACCAAATGAAGGATGTGGCCGATTGAGTTGCCCCCCAAAAAAAGACACCGGTCTGCGATGCCGCTCACGGTGCTGTGATCGGAAAGAATTCCTCCGATCTGAGGAGATGAGGGGCGATCAATGGATGCCATTTGAACGTGTAAACCCCAGCTATCAACCAGATTCGGCCAACCCTTTTTAAATGTCATTCGGGAATTCTGAGTCTTGATATTATAAACACGATATGATGACTTATGATTCACTGATCTTTAACCTGTTCATGACGTTTCTGTATAAGGTTCTGTTAATCAGAAACAGGTTAAACCTAGTTAAGGTTCTGGTTCTTTAACCTATTCCTTTTCATCTTGACGTTTCTGGCGATCGCCGGTCGGTCCCACCGTCGTCCTTCTTCAGGTCTCGCAAGACGCGCTCACCGCCGCCCGTCTCGTCGTCCGACTCGTCGATGCGCACGGCATCCACCTAAGATGGCGAAGGGGCCGTGTTGGATGGCTGTGACGGTCGTGCTGTTGACGAACATGGAGATGACATATGATGACATGTGATGACTTATATGTCACGATATTGATGCTTTTTCTATGGAAGTCATGACATCATGACATGGACGATGACGATGCCAAACCGGACGACCACTCCATCCGACACCACGACACACGACAGCACGGTGCCTGGGAGATGACGAAGGTCAAAGCGCCCGGTGTGGTGAAGAGGTGCGGCGCTTCTTGAGCGATGCGATCCATCAACAGCGCCAAGGAATCGCTACGTACCTGGAAGGAGACGTGGAGGGAGAAGGGAGGTCTTTTCATCTCCCCAAAAGGGCTCCAAGTAGCTTCTCAGAAGCTGCTTCGAACCTCCAAAGTAATCCCAAATGCTTTCTCAGAAGGTCATTCTGAAGCCCTTGGGGTCGGATAGCCATTCACTCTCACCGTAGACTCTCACCTCATCTCGCCTCACTCGACGAACCCGCGGAATCCAGACGAAGGGGCCCAAGATGTGACCAGGTGTTACCGAGAAGGGACCAAGAATTCTGGTGTGTAGAGGAAGGTGAAGGATGTGTGGTTTAGGACAGCAACTGTGAAGGTTGAAGTTTTGAAGAAAAACATGATGGAGGAAAAACCGTTGATATGGGAGTTTGCGGGGCAGGCCGTATTTTTTGTTGAATATGTTTGTTTTGTTGGTAGAGCGGCTGTCATGTTCCACGCATGAGCTGAAAGGTATTCTGATATGCCCGGCTCACTCAGTGAGTCTACTAAGTCTGGGTGCCTGCTGATGGACAAAACCTTGCATGCACTAACATGCACTACTTGGGAGCCGTGAAGCTACTTTTCTCTGGCACATCCTGTATTTTCCGCTAGTTCAGGGCATGCAAAAGTGAAGGATCATGCCCCCTTCTGCCGTGTGATTAGATTCACCCAGAAATTCCACAAGTGATGTCCAGCCTTGAATTTGTAGCCGACACTCCAAATGAAATCACCCACTACTTCGAGTGATCTTCAGAAATCCTCAGCTTCAACTTCACTTACAGGTGGCAAAAGAGGATTCTGACTAGTACAGTGGTACCACTGCGTGCCCAGTACACTGGTACCATTCTGCGTGAGCTCACCCTGGATGGTTCGGGAAATAGACCCAAAACCATACACATGCACCCATATATGTCAGTGATGTGCTGAAGTGCCAATGATCTCGATGTGAGTCCGGAGAAGGTCCGGCAGTCCGGCACAGCCGGAGACTGTGTAACGAAAGGAAGAGTTCGGGTGGAGAAGGAACAGGAAAAGAAACACGTTCTCTACCCAGGCCAGCAAAGTTCGCAAGCTTTCCTCCAGAATATGTATCAATAATTACTTGTAGTGGTTCTAGAAATCTATAACTTACAAGCACCATATTCTATAATTCTCCCTACAGGTCATAAGACGTCACTTTACTGCAGTTGATGATACAAACACTATACTCAATGAGGCAAAGGACCAGGTTTTGGGCCTGTGGACCTGTGCGACTGCACCTCCTACGGCCACGGGCACTGCACTGTGCTTCACCAGGACGATGAGGCCGTGACACATGGAGAGGAGCTGATCGAAACAGTCCTGGCGTCAAACAGTCATCTTCGGCCGCGCTGTTTGAGGCTGTTTGAGGCTGTTGGAGTAATTTGTCCACCTAGCAATCACGCCAACTGGAGTCCGCAGTGTGTTGCAGAAAGTTGCAGTTTTTTTGTTGTAGCCTGTGGTACCAAAATCTATTCCGTAGTTGTGTGGCCTGCCCCTTCCAGAAATTTCTCCCAAAGCTCGAACCACAGGATTGTCTATGCTCGTCCTTCACCACAGGATTGTCAGTCTCATCTTGCCCAGGCATGTCCACGAGGCGCAGCGAGCCATCGCAGATGCCCAGGTCATACAACCTGCTCGTCGGCTGACCTGGCTCCCATCAAAGATAAGTCAACTTTTAATTTAGTTTAGATCAAGGCAATGTGATGTTCTCCGTCCACCAACCTTCCTGAAGAAGCTTCCATCACATGTGTCCTCTTTCGATACACGCCATGCCTGATCTGGTACGTCGGATGAATCCACTAAACGCGTGAAAACAAAGACACCAAAGCCCAGAGTACAGCCAAGAGTTTGGTCAATGGTTGAGAACCAGTCTTCCAATGTCAACGGCTGACAAGCTCAGAAGCATGATACATCAAAGTGGCCTATGTGATCATCTACCCACACGGTCGGCTATTCAACCCGGACCCTTTTCACGGTTAAACAAACAAACTTACCCTCCCCGCCCTCCCCGCCCTCCCAAAATGGAAGTGGAGTTCGCCACCTCTTTCTGGAGGAAACGTCGTCGTTTCAAGACCCCCATCCAACCCATGCGCTTGCATAGGACTTGAGTCGGAATGTGATTCGGAACGGTCCAAGTCTTCAGTCGACCAGCCACAAGTGATTCGCAAGTCGACCACATCTTTGGAGCCCTCAGTGGAACGCAGGTTGGCATGTTGACATGTTCATCTTCTGACCGAAAACAGGTGGAGAGGAAGCCCCAAAAGGTCAGTCTGACCTCATTTTAGTGAAGTTGATCGTACTAAAAGCACTTCTCAATGAGGCAAAGGTCCAGATTTTACTGGGTCTTTGGAAGACCTGTAGGGTCCCCATGTGGAATGAATGAGTCTTCCCCATGCGAATGAACATGGTCCATGGAAGAACTTTCGGATCCTGCAACATCTCTTGAGTGCTCCAGCACTGTCCATTCTAATTGAGCACGGTTTTTCAACCGCACTTGGCGTTCGAACTACCTAGATCCACGATGACAGGGGACAGAGTTTGCTGGGTCGACGTAACCCGGGTGACCCAGGCTTCGCAATGGAACGACACATGCGACGACCCGGGTGACCCAGGGTGATGTGTGAAGAAACATCCAAACCATCCGGACACAAGAGGCCGAAACCCATAACAGTCCAAAAAGTGTATCATGGATATAGAGATGATCAAAGGTCATCAACAATGTCTTGTAGACTGTAGTCTCGTATATGGTATATATAGGTACGTATCTTCTGGATATTCTGCTGGCCTCCCTTTGGGTCTTCCAAGGTGATTCGAAGCCGAACGGACGCCGCATTCTCTACGAGAGAACTCCTGACATCCGTCAGTCGCGTTGGGGAGCCGGTCCTGCAAGGGGTCATTTCTGCCTTTGTTTGAGAGAAACGGCACCCTGCTGCCTTACTTAATAGGCGCCTACTAGCGATGGCCTCCAACCTACTAATTTCTGCTAAGCCATCCCCGCCAGGTCACCTATGAATCCGAAGTGAGAAGAACATCAAGCCAAAGAGAAGCTGGTTCACCAGAAAAGAGCTCAAGACGAGTCGCATACGATAGCAACCCAAAGGCAAAGCACCCTTCACTGTTTCCAAAGACTGAACAGTCTATTCAGATCCAAGTGACACTCTCTCGGATCTCCTCGTTGAGGGACTTGATGCGGTTCAACACCTCCTGATTCGGCTAAGGGTTCGAGCGAACGAGTGACTGGTCCCATCCAAGGCGATCCCAACGGTTTGTTTCTTCGGGGAGGTCATGTCACATGACACAAAATACACTCCGACTCACATGCCATGGAAGTGGATGGCATGGCCACATGGATGGAAGACGGCTTTCCTTTGCAAACAGGATTGTTTTCCACTTACATGTTGGTGAGTCGGAGTGGATCCTATCTTTCTTCTTTCCATGCAACGCATTTCTTGCGAGTCAGTCACCGGTACTGTCCGGTGTTTTCACAACCCATGATTGAAACATATGAAGCGGACCTCAGCAACTGACTTGGTCTCAGAAATGTCTTGTGACTTAGGTGCTGCAGTGAATAGGACTGAGGCAGGATTGGCACTTGGGCTGGAGGAGAGGATGAGAGCCAAAGGGTTTTGCTGCACGATTCTGGACAGAGATTCGATGAGTCCATATGATTGACCAAGAAACATGAAACAACTTCTTGAACCAAATCCCATCCACTGGATCTCATCACACCTCATCCAAGGGCTTTGAGGCCGCCGAAACCGAGCACCAAATCTGCCAAATGGCCCCGAAATCTGCGGAAACCGAGCACCAAATTTGCCTATAGGGTCTATTGAAACCATGTGAAAAAGAAACAAACATGAGGCCCATTGAGGCCCCCATCTCCAAGACTCCTGATATCTCCTGATCCTCTGGTCCATGTCCGTAAAAAAGGGGATCCTTCCTGTCGACTCACTGTACTCCATCTGTTCGACCCAGACGCTTCCATGCGATCCGCCACCGTGAGATCAAAGCTCCTTATAGTGAGGTTCTCCCGTCTTCTTCTTGATGCACCTTGATGCACCACCTATCCATCAAACCCACAAAAAAAAACAACAAACTCCAATGTTTGGCGAGACGAGCTCTGGAGTTTGTATGAGAAAAACACCTTTTGCTGTCATTCCAAACAAACCCAGTGCATCCCAGGCAAAGAGGAACCAGGGGCCCTTCGATCGAAGTCGGTGTTAGTCGAACTGGAAGTACTGGTTACCAGCGACATCGTGGGAACTGCCTGGATGCCGGTTTCCCACCACCAACACATGCACCGATCCCGGTCCGCTCCGTCACCATCGTCTACTCCGTAACCGAGACGTCGTCCTTGCGGCCACAGACCTGCTCGGGCTCCTTCCAAACAAAGGAGAGCTCCGGCTCCTGGAGTCGACCCATGACCGTCATGAGTCGATAGGTGGGTAAGCCCAGGGTCATAGATGGATGCCCGTACTTCGTACGACCGTATGGGAGGGGGGGTGCAGGTGGAACAGGCTGCAAGGCTTAAAAAGGAAACATCTGCAATGGGTAAAATGCATGTAAACCAGTGATACCACTCTAAACTTGAAATGTCCAAATATAACATCCAACACTTTCCAATTCCTAAATATTAGATTCCTATTGCTGCAAAACAACTGGAGCCTACTTGAGCCTCCAGCGGCCAGTCCCGCCCGTCCCGCCCGTCCCGAACACATCGCGGAAAGGGTCTTTCGGTGTTCAACGGGGCTCCTGAAGGCCTTCCACCAGTTGCACACTGGTGATGGCCGAGGTACAGGATTTGTAACCTCAGCCACTCGACTTCAGAAAATGAGTTACAGTCGTCATGAGTACTGCGTTGTTTCTTCTTTGAGCATCATACTCAGAATCATGTGGCCATGTTCGGTACTTGAAGATCATCTCCAGGGTGGGTCGATCCGGGTCCGGCAGAGCTCCGGTTTCTTCCGGGAGAGCTTACGGCTCGGTGCAGCCAGGCGAGCCGCTTGGGCGAGGCCTAACGTTCCGGATCGAGTTCCGGATGTCAGGATGCCATCAATTTGAGAATAGGTCGTCTGAGTGCCGCATCCACTGGATGGGTCTAACTACCCCAACTCCAACTGGAACGAACTGGATGTGTTGGTCTTCTTCAGATGTCTTGAGATTTTTCCTCTCACGCTCGGCCATCCACATCCCGAGTCGGCCGAGCAAAGCGCCGATTCGAACGTGGAAAGGGGGCCATGGCGGTAGTCCACCCTCCAATTGAATGAAACATGAGTTGTGTCAGTCGTACATATTTCTGACCTCACACCCCTGCTTTGAGAGGATGCACCTCCGACCTGAAACACCAAATGCACCAAGTCTTCCAACAAAGTTGTGTGAGGTTCTCGGTTCCTTCGCCGCCCGACCACTCATGTTGTTTCGCGAATTGATACGTTTTTTTGGTGGGTGGGTGGGGGGCCGGGGGACAATGACAAACGATGTTGATGCTTTGGTTGACATGTACAAACGATGTTGCGGTTTTGGTTGACATGTACAAAGGGGTTTTGGTTGGCATGTACAAACGATGTTGATGTTTTGGTGGACATGTACAAACGATCTTGAGGTTTTGGTTGACATGTACAAAACGATGTTGCGGTTTTGGTTGACATGTGCAAACGATG